CACCCAACACCCCCACCCAAAAAAAACCCCCTCCGCCCCCACCCCCCCACTAAAAACTTTAAAATAACCCCTTTTTTACTAACATTAAAAAACAAACCCCCAAATAGAAACCCCTTAACCTTGTTTAAAGAAAAATAAAAAATTTAATTTTAATAATAATTTCCCCCCCGGTGGGGGGCTTTTGGGAAATATTCCCTATTTTTTCCCAACCTGTTTTTTCAAATAAAAATTGGGCCCCACCTTTCCCCCCTTCCCACTTTCCAACCCTAAATTAAAAACTACTTGGCCCCACCCCCCTTAAACCTTTTTCCCTTTCATCTTAAGAAACCCCCGCGTCCATTTTTGAAAAAAATATTTAAAAAAATTATTTAATAAAATAAAATTTAAAAATTTTATTTTAAAATTTTTTAAAGAACGTCCCCCAACCCCCCCCCCCCAAAAAATTTCACCCAAAATTAAATGGGTGCCCGGTTATGCCTTTTCCCCACGCTAAAGGCTTTATTTAAAGGCCCCCTTTTTTTCCAAGTCCTTTTTAAAAGTTATTTTTTTAATTTAAAACCCCCTTTTCAAAAACAAGTTTTTTGGGGCCCTTATTTAGTTTTGCTACATTGGGCTAAAACCCTTTAAACCCCTTGGGGGTTAACATTTGGGCCTATAAAGAAAATTTTTTTCCCTTTAATTAAAAAATTTTGTTTCCCTTAAATTTTTGGGGAATTTTCCTTAAAAATCCCCCTTTTTTTTTTATTTTGTTCTTGTTTTCTTCTCAATTCCTCTCTTTCTCTTTTCCCGTTCATTTTCCTTTTTTGCTCTTTCCTCTTCCCAAAAATTCTCAAGTTAACCCCACTTCTCGTGAAATATTTCCAAAATGGTTTTCTTTTAGTTCACAAATTTCTTAGTTTTGGGTCAGTTGCCATTGTGAGGACAATCTTTTCCATAACTTCCAGAAGGGAAAACTACTTGCTAAATTTTAATCATAATTTTACCTTCCCTTCTTAATGTCACTACTTCCCAACCCCTTTTGTTCGCCGTTCCCTTTACGTTTTCCCCTTTCTACACCTTTTAAGAACCAATTAAAGGGGGGGAAAAATTGGTAAGGGTTTTAAAACCCCATTTTTACAGGTTTTCTTCTCAAATCGATGAACACCCCCAGGGAGGACTACCGTCCGCCAAGTGAGTGTAAAAAAAAAGCCTGAATTGTTTTACTGATGGTAGGTTTGCTGATGTCTTTTGTCTTGCTTTAAATATGAAAGATTACGGCATGTCTTGCTACTTCTATTTACACTTATGTCCACTACACAAACATATCCTTTTATTCATACACAATCTGAGTTTTCTTTGATTTTATCTTTAGTTCTTGGTCTTTTTTTTTTTTTCCCTTTTTATCCATGGGGAAGGGAATAAGAATCTTTCCCCCGTAAGCCAGGGTGTTGTAAAAGTCAAAAAATGCGGGAAAAATGGGCTAGTAACCCCTTTTCCCCTGTAAAGATTACTAAAAGAATAAAAAGAAGAAAATTGTCAAAGTGGGAAAGTCTAAATGTGCGGGGATGTTGTGCGATGATAAGAAAGAGATGATTGTGGATGTTTTGAATGAGAAGAAGCGGATGCCGGCTTTAATAAACAAAACTGAAGGGGGGGGGAGAGTTTCAATGGAGAGGGGAAAAAATGGTTTTGGCGGGTTTCAAAATGAGTTAAAAGCTAAAGAAGGGTAGCAAAAAATTTGAAGGGTAAGTATGGCAGGGAAAAAAGGGGCTAAAATGTTTAAATTTAAGGATTATGTGGGGTAAAAAAAAGATTGGGTGTGAAAAAATGGGGTTTAAAAGGTGATGCACCTGGGGAAGAGGGAAATGTAAGGAGAGAGGATTTTTGGGGAAAAGTTTGGTGAATGCGTGGGAGTTTTTTAATCAAGTGTGAAGTAATGGTGGTTGGGGATTTCAATGCAAAGTGGGGAAAAAGTTATGGAGGGAGTTAGGTAAATTTGGGTAGGGGGAAAAGTAAAAGGGGGGCTTTAATTGGCTATGTGTGAAAAAAAATTTGGTAATAAGTAATACTTTTTTATGAAAAAGAGGATAAAAAAAATATCAAGGATGATTAGCCCTAATGAAAGTAGTTTATTAGATTATGATTGGGGTAAAAGGTTGATGGGTAGGTCCAGGATGTAATGTTTAAGAGGGGAAAAAATTATGGTCATTTTTTAGTTTTAGCTACAGTTTTGATAAGGGTAGATGGGAAAAAAGGAAAGGGGGCAACAAAAAAGTAAGGGAGGTGAAAGTGTTTAAACTAAGGGAGGAGGAAGTTGGGCGAGATTAAGCGGGGTATTGGCAGAAGGTGGGATAGTGCAAAGATGATAATGGGGGGGTTTTTAAAAAGGGGTTTGGAAAAGTTTTAAAAAAAGCAGTATTAGAAAGTGGGGCAGAAGTTTGTGGGTTTAGGGGGGGGGTGCAGGAGGAAAGAGGAGTGATTGGTGGAATTTAGAAATAAAAGGGGGTGATAAAAAGAAAAAAGGTAGCTTAGAGAGGTTTTTTCAAAAAGAAGTGTTATAAGAAAGAGATATTGGAGGTAAAAGAAAGGAAAGGATGGTGAGGAGTGCAAAGGAGGCGATGAAGAGTGGGAGAGGGATGTCAAAAAATTTTATGAAAAAAAAAAAAAATTTTGGAGTGATTAAACAAGTTAAGAAAGCCAAGGGAAAATATGGATTTGTCAGTTAAAAACAGAGTAGGGGAGTTAGTAGATGGGGAGATGAGGTATTAGGTAGATGGCGAGAATATTTTGAGGAACTTTTAAATTTTAAAGGGAAGAAACAGAGGCAGTAATTTCATGCACTGGTCAGGGAGGTATACCATTTTTTAGGAGTGAAGAAGAGCAGAATGTAAGTGTGGGGGAGGTACGTGAGGCATTACGTAAAATGAAAGGGGGTAAAGCAGCTGGTACTGATGGGATCATGACAGAAATGTTAAAAGCAGGGGGGGATATAGTGTTGGAGTGGTTGGTACTTTTGTTCAATAAATGTATGAAAGAGGGGAAGGTACCTAGGGATTGGCGGAGAGCATGTATAGTCCCTTTATAAAAAGGGGAAAAGGGGACAAAAGAGACTGTAAAAAATTATAGAGGAATAAGCTTACTGAGTTTACCAGGAAAAGTGTACGGTAGGGTTAAAATTGAAAGAATTAGAGGTAAGACAGAATGTAGGATTGCGGATGAGCAAGGAGGTTTCAGAGTGGGTAGGGGATGTGTAGATCAAGTGTTTACATTGAGCATATATGTGAACAGTATTTAGATAAAGGTAGGGAAGTTTTTATTGCATTTATGGATTTAGAAAAGGCATATGATAGAGTGGATAGAGGAGCAATGTGGCAGATGTTGCAAGTATATGGAATAGGTGGTAAGTTATTAAATGCTGTAAAGATTTTTTTATGAAGATAGTGAGGCTCAGGTTAGGGTGTGTAGAAAAGAGGGAGACTTTTCCCGGTAAAAGTAGGTCTTAGACAGGGATGTGTAATGTCACCATGGGTTGTTTAATATATTTATAGATGGGGTTGTTAAGGAAGTAAATGCTAGGGTGTTTGGGAGAGGGGTGGGATTAAATTATGGGGAATAAAATTTCAAAATGGGAATTGACACAGTTACTTTTTGCTGATGATACTGTGCTTATGGGAGATTCTAAAGAAAAATTGCAAAGGTTAGTGGATGAGTTTGGGAATGTGTGTAAAGGTAGAAAGTTGAAAGTGAACATAGAAAAGAGTAAGGTGATGAGGGTGTCAAATGATTTAGATAAAGAAAAATTGGATATCAAATTGGGGAGGAGGAGTATGGAAGAAGTGAATGTTTTCAGATACTTGGGGGTTGACGTGTCGGCGGATGGATTTATGAAGGGATGAGGTTAATCATAGAATTGATGAGGAAAAAAGGTGAGTGGTGCGTTGAGGTATATGTGGAGTCAAAAAAACGTTATCTATGGAGGCAAAGAAGGGAATGTATGAAAGTATAGTAGTACCAACACTCTTATATGGGTGTGAAGCTTGGGTGGGTAAATGCAGCAGCGAGGGAGACGGTTAGAGGCAGTGGGATGTCCTGTTTAAGGGCAATGTGTGGTGTAAATATTATGCAGAAAATTCGGAGTGTGGAAATTAGGAGAAGGTGTGGAGTTAATAAAAGTATTAGTCAGAGGGCAGAAGAGGGGTTGTTGAGGTGGTTTGGTCATTTAGAGAGAATGGATCAAAGTAGAATGACATGGAAAGCATATAAATCTATAGGGGAAGGAAGGCGGGGTAGGGGTCGTCCTCGAAAGGGTTGGAGAGAGGGGGTAAAGGAGTTTTGTGGGTAAGGGGCTTGGACTTCCAGCAAGCGTGCGTGAGCGTGTTAGATAGGAGTGAATGGAGACGAATGGTACTTGGGACCTGACGATCTGTTGGAGTGTGAGCAGGGTAATATTTAGTGAAGGATTCAGGGAAACCGGTTATTTTCATATAGTCGGACTTGAGTCCTGGAAATGGGAAGTACAATGCCTGCACTTTAAAGGAGGGGTTTGGGATATTGGCAGTTTGGAGGGATATGTTGTGTATTTTTTATATGTGTATGCTTCTAGACTGTTGTATTCTGAGCACCTCTGCAAAAACAGTGATAATGTGCGAGTGTGGTGAAAGTGTTGAATGATGATGAAAGTATTTTCTTTTTGGGGATTTTCTTTCTTTTTTGGGTCACCCTGCCTCGGTGGGGAGACGGCCGACTTGTTGAAAAAAAAAAAAAAAAAAAAAAAAAAAAAAAAAAAAAAAAAAAAAAAAAAAAAAATAATATATATTTATATATATATATATATATATATATATATATATATATATATATATATATATATATATATATATAATATACGAAAGAATGGACGGGGTCCGTCCTGTGCGTTACCACTGGGCTACGAGGCTCACAAAAGGAAAGCTTCACAGACAGTATTTTTGAGATATACACATAGTCACTCTCCAAAATTATTAATTTATCGTTTGCAATTTTTCTCTCAAAATCATCAACATGTGCTTGGTGTTCCGTCGACCGTCTGGTCTGCGCTTCCGGTGCTTGGGTCTGTGACTGCCTGGCGTACTGGCGCTATCTTATAATGTATGGGGTAGGTGCCAAGGATGATGGCAAAGACAAGACCAGCGAGGTGGACCTGAATCGTTACAACAACTTCATGGATACTGTCTTCAGACGCGTCAACTCGTACTCCAGGAGTCGCTTTGATCCCTTCAGTTTCGGTCTCGGCAGGAGTGCCAAGAATGGCAAGAGCAAGGGAACCAAAGGAACCAAAGATAAAAAGAACAAGAAGTAAGTAGATAGAAAATCCAACAAATACAAATTATTCTGTCGTGCCTCACTTAAAATACCTAAGAGCAATTCCCTTTATTACTATCGCTCCATCATGAGGCAAGAGAGAGCACATTCATTAACCTATGCTCTCAAGCGTGCTTCAGTTATAATTGAGATTTAAGAAACACAGTAGGCGGGAAAGAAGGAATGGTGAGTCCTTCACACGTTTCGTTTTGTGACATAACACTCGCTCGGCTGTAATATTTTGTCACATAAATTGGGAAAACTGAGAATGCAGACCCGGAGTAACTTAATATTTACGCTTGCTATAATTTATACTGTTTAATGTAATTTATTTGGCATTTTAGGAAGAAGGGAGGCAAGAAGGGTGGAAAGAAGGGAGGTAAAGGCAAAGGAAAAGATAAGGATAAGAAAGAAAAGGGAAAGAAGGGTAAAAGGCATCCCAAGAACCTGAACCTAGACGAAGAGAACCAAGAAAGCGACCACGAAACGAACCTCGAAGTGGACACACCCGAAGTTGTTGCCGAACCCGCTGTCGGTGACGAACCCGCTGTTGGCAGCCAGACAAGTGACGGAGAAGACGTAAAGGCGATCACTAACTCTACTGAGACAGTCCGCAGAAAGAGAGAAACTGAGATGATCGAGGAGGAGGAAGAGGTGGAAGATGAGGAGGAGGAAGAGGAAGATTCTTATGAAGAAGAGGTAAGACTCGACTCTCCAAAAGATCTTCTATAATACTTCTCAGCAGATGATTGATACATATTATGCTCTAGTGTATATCTATTTTATGTCACAATTCCCTCACATCAACTTTCACTTGCCGTACACTGCTGTATTAATTACTTTAGGGAAAATATCCAGTAACAGCAAGTATTACCTACGGTGTAATAACATCATAAGCAAGGTTGGTTAAAAGAAACAAATAAGTTCCATCAGGCGGAATGTTCTTGTGATTATTTGTAACCAAGTTCATGTAAGTTTTGGATGACTTTTGCTCTTCACTGACTTCCCAAACATCATTACTGCTCTATCACTCCTACGAGCTTAGTGCTTTTCCGGGAATACCGCAAAACAGTTCGAAAAGACTCTTTAAATTTATTTGTAAAAGTCACGTCTCCGTAACTTATATGTTAAACTGCAATTGAGTTTTTAGTAACTGGATTTTCCACATGAGGAGGGAAATAATATATTACTGTGCCTCAGAAGGAATAATGTGGATAATCACAATGATCTGAGCAAATAAAATATAATAGTTTCCGTAGAAGTAATATCTCAAACAGTTAATGATGGTACTATGAAAGTCTAAGTGGACAATTAGCGTAGTCGCTACAACAAACAGATGACGAAATGTACTCTAACAGCGTGAGAGTCCAACCTGATGTTGGTAGCAACAGCAGCAGTAATAATAGCAGCATAAGCATAGTAGTAGCAGTAGTAGTAATAGTAGGCACAGTAGTGGATTCAGGGGCAATATATAAAGAGTTCAGTCACCTCAGTCACTGAGAAATCAGGAGACAATTTCATCCTGTATAACTTTACATTATAACCTCTCTCACACGACATCACTCAACTAACTTTACATTATAACCTCTCTCACACGACATCACTCAACTAACTTTACATTATAACCTCTCTCACACGACATCACTCAACTAACTTCATATTATAACCTCTCTCACACGACGTCAATCAACTAACTTCACATTATGACCTCTCTCACACGACGTCAATCAACTAACTTCACATTTCTAAGGAATTCAGTAATTTGATCGCACATTTGTTCTCACACTAACTGTTAATATTTTCTTGTCACATGTACAGTGGTCTCTGGCACGAGAGAAAAGAGAGGCTGATGACATTCATGTTCTTGAAGATGACTCAGCGGTGGAGACCTCTCGCAAGGGCAGGCCTGCCAGCAAGGGCAAGAAGAGCAAGACCAAAGGCAAAGGAAAGAACAAGGGCAAAGGAAAAAACAAAGGCAAGAAGAACAAGGGCAAAAAAGGCAAGAAGGGAAGCAAGAAGACTAAAAAGGGTCCACAGGTGAGTTTACCGTGGGAGGAACAATCGTACACGGAGAGACGGGCGTATAGTCTCCTAGACAGACAACACAGACAAATATACTGAACTGACGGGCAGGTAGACATACCTGACAGGTAAAGAGACAAAGAGAAACAAGCAGAATAGAATGGCAAATTGAGATCAGTCTCATACACAGATACATGCAGACTGTCAGATAGGACAGTGTAACTGAAAGACCAGACCGGTCAGAATATAGATGAGACAGGCAGATAGACAAATAGGCAGATTATTAAACTTGACAAGTAAAATGACAACTAACAAACCGAAGAAATACTACCTCTTTACCTAGAAATTACCACTTCACCTAGAAACTACCACTTCACCTAGAAATTATCACATCACCTAGAAACTACCTCTTCACCTAGAAATTACCACTTCACCTAGAAATTACGTCTTCACCTAGAAACTACAATTATATTAGGAGAGAAACCTTTCCGGACTTAAATGATGTTTGTTTTCTTATGACTCTCAGTCTGGTTGGTAGAGGAGCAAGCATTTGGAAACGTCTAATCATAGTCTTTGCTACAACCACAGATACGCACCTCCCGCGCCTCCGTCAGCGGCATTGCCACTGTCCGCAGACTCGGCAGCGTTAAGGTCATTAACAAGCAGGACGGGAGAGAGATCCGCTCCCAGTTTGCTTTGGGCCCCGTCGACCTGAAGGTCTCACGCAAGGTAAGAATCTATTACTCCTTTGCACCCCGTATCCATACTGTGGGCGGTAGTTACCCCTCATTCTCATACTATAGATGGTAGTCACCACTATAACCATTTTGTGGACGGTAGTCAATCCTCATACTCATCCTATTGATGGCAGTCACTCTTATACCCATCTTGTGGGAAATAATCACCTTCATACCCATCCTGTGGATCGTAGTCACTCCTATACCCATCCTGTGGGCGGTAGTCAAGAGATTACAGAGGCACATAATGGGTCCAGGGAATAGACCCCAAAGATTTGATAGCTATACAAGTTACAGTGGTAATGAATTATTATTATTATAATCAAAAAAGAAGCGCTAAGCCACAAGGGCTATACAGCACAGTGGTAATGAACTGTTTACAAATTAATTGTTGTGTTGTGCAGCAGTACTGTGTGCCATGTACGTGGTCTTCAGAAATGTTTAATATCGGCACATTACACAAGTGGCAAATATCCTTTATGCCACAAATCAGACATGCAACTAAGATGATGCTTTTGTGCATTTTGCGCCATCAAATGATGGTCGAGATGAGACCGAAACGTCTAGTTTCGTCTCCAGTTTTGTGTGTTAGTTGTGAGGCGTTTCAGTAAAGGTGTTATAACGTTTATCCCTTTACGTTTGACCTGCTATGTGAGTAATTTTTGAGAACTGTTTATAATTTAGCTGACCTGCTGACCTCCTTCACAGTTTGGCTCTGGTAAGGACTCTGTCACCCGCACTGCCAGAGCCGCCTCTCCTCAGCTGGAAGGAAAGATGTACATCTTCGTCTCGGCTAATGGCAAGGCTGAGGTGACCAAGTTCCATGTCAATCGTCCCTCCATCGTACAGGTCAGGACACTCACACACTTGTACACCTCGATTTTTTTAACCTTCTTGATTTAGGTATTGTGGTTTCTTAATGGGGTTTAAACCATATCGACTACACGAGGGTTATTTAGGCTGCCTTTAATCTTGTCTTCACGAGATAAGGGATTAGTGTTAGTAAACTCCCAGCATATATATGCCTCTCAGTGTATATACCTTGTGAGTTATCATTTATGTCACTATACACATATTGACTTTATTGTTAGTTATTTTGTTTAATTGGGTAATTATTTATTTTCTTTCATCTTTATTTACTAATATATTATTACTGTCATCATCATCTCGCTTGTATTTATTTATTATTGCTTTTTAAGTTATAATCTGTTCTAATCGTTATCCCCTCCCCCCCAAAAAAAAACCAGTAATGGAACCACCATTGCCACCATCAAAGCTGCTACTATATCCCAGCCATCACCATCATAACACCAGTTGAGCAACACCATTCACCTCATCACTACTCACATTCACCACATCACCACATCAACATTACCCCCTTTCACCTGTGATGAATGGTTTGAAAAACCGACAAGTTGAAGATTGAGACACTTATGCAGCATATGGGAATCTTTATTCAGGAAACGTTTCGCCACACAGTGGCTTCATCAGTCCAATACAAAGAGGAAGGCGTAAGAAGAGGAGGAGAATGAGGTAATCAGTCCCTCAACCTGGAGTCGATGTGTTCAGTCCATCAATCTTGTAGAATGTACAGCATAGGGCCGTAGACGTGGCTTATATACTGTAGTAGGTGAGGTGAAGCAGGCGGAGGCGGGGTCAATAGTGGTACCATCCACTGGACGAAGACTTACTTCGATTAGTGGATGGTACCACTATGACCCCGCCTCCGCCTGCTTCACCTCACCTCACTACAGTATATAAGCCACGTCTACGGCCCTATGCTGTACATTCTACAAGATTGATGGACTGAACACATCGACTCCAGGTTGAGGGACTGATTACCTCATTCTCCTCCTCTTCTTACGCCTTCGTCTTTGTATTGGACTGATGAAGCCACTGTATGGCGAAACGTTTCCTGAATAAAGATTCCCATATGCTGCATAAGTGTCTCAACCCTTTCACCTCATTACCACTACCACATTCACCTCATCGCCACTATACTCACATTCACCTCATCACTAATACTCACATTCACCTCATCACCACTACTCACATTCAGATAATTTTGTACACATGGTGGCGTAGTGAATATAAGTGAGGTCTTGTGTGTGTGAGGACAGGATCGATCCTCGGGACTCCTCGCACAAATCGCTACTTTCAAGTTCTTGTGAAATTCACATTTTTTTTTCTCCTCCGTCAGGTTGACGGCACACTCCGCAAGGACACCCGGGATGGTAAGGCTGATAACAACTTCATGGAGAAGTCGATCTCTCGAGCTCTGCCCTTCGCTGCTATCAAACTTAAGAGGGCCAGCAAGGCTGTTCTCTCAGCCAGTGAACCTAAGAGCAACAGTTAACCAAACTCCTACTTCAACCGTCTCATTAAACTCTTGGTTCTCCATAACTCCCCACTCCTCCGTCTAACACCCGTCTAACACGTGACTGAGTCTGGCTCCCTTATATTAAAAAAATATATATACATACAATTATGTCAAAATTTTGATCAGTATAGTCTCGGGTCTTTATTCTTGATTACCAAAAAAAAATATATTAAATTTGACATTTCTTGCATAGTGACTGCCCACTATTGCAGACCTCACTCTAGCGTTTTCGGTAATGCTTCCACAGAAAGCACTTCCCTGATGTATTAATATCTCTCTTAAACAAGCAGACTTTTGAGTAATTCATTAAATACACTTAGCCAGAATTTATTAGATCAAATTAATCAAATGAGAAGAGTGGACTTTTTTTGTTTACGAAACCTCGAGAGTATTCAGCATAGTATTGTTTTAAAGTATGTTCTTCACACGCTAAAAATTTAGATATTGTTCTTACTGTTTTAAAATTTAGTTGACATATTTTTTGCTAGAAGTGCAAATTTCGAGAGATGGTAGTTATATACTTATAGTTTCTGTATGGAATGGGTAAGAATAAGAAAATGACGGTGCAGACTGTCATGACCACGGAGGTGATGTTATAGATATTAAGTGGAGGGTGACAGTTTCTCAGGGTATATGTAGTTATCTTCTCTACATGCACGAACATGATCATTGTACAATGATCTGTCTTTATTAGAATTACCCTTCTTTTTTCTCTAAGTCCTCCTTCCCCTTGTATAATGACCCCTTCTTACCACTTAGAATCCACCCACTTCCCCTTGTATAATGACCCCTTCTTATCCCTTAGAACCCATTTCCCCTTGTATAATGACCCCCTTCTTATCACCAGTCAACATAAGTACGCTTTCTAGTTACTTATTTTGCGCACCAGCTTATTATTGCCCTTGCTTTGTTACTCCTCACATCCTAAAGATATATTTTATACTGTAAAAAAATATAAAATGAAAAAAAAAAATGAATGGGCAGAGGCTCGTCGGAAGTGCACATCTGCTGAGCCTCTGTCTTCATGTGGACCACAACGGCACCCGACCTTCAGCGAGATCATGATCATATCTTGGACCACCGCTGTGGCGCCTCCCTCACCTCCTGCTCTCAACCTCTGCTGCCACCCATTGCCACCCAGCCACTATCAACCACTCCTAACATTAGTCCATCATCCCATCTTGGTCTCTGAAGGAAAGCCAAGGAAATAAGAAGCTGCAGGATGGCTTCTTTAATGGATGTTGAACACCTAAAACTGTCACCAGCTGGGGTCAGGTTGGCTGCCTGGGTGAAGCCTTGGGGATGCCCGAGAATGCCTGGGTGAAGCCTGGTGAAACCTCGGGGGATGCCTGAGTGAAGCCTGGGTGATGGGGGCACCACCAAGAACTTAGACGCCACGGTCAGCCATCATTCTCTCGCTCGCTTGATGATACAGTGATGTGATGATACATTGTCTCTTGCCCCACAAACATCACGCAGCCCACAGTGACTAGCTGCTTTATATATTTATTTAAGTTATTAACTTATTGATATATTATTAATAAACTTAGGCTAAGACGACGTGTTTGCTCTCTCATTTCCGGCTACAAAAGAATCAGTTACTTCCATAACTGTCGAATCTTAGTTCTAGATAAGTGTCGTGTGGCCCACTGGTGTACAGGAAATGTACACGAAGATGTGTAGATCTCAGTGTGTACACTCACAGAGTTTAATACTTTTTAAGGAATTTAAGTATTGTTTAGTTGTGAAGAGGTGGCATGCAGCTTCTATGACCCTGTGTAGCTGAAACGCTGTAACTCCATTAACCAACTGGTTTTCTGCATCTTTGTGAAGATTATGCTAATAATACCCCCTCAAGTGAGGTACCGTGATTCAGTTGGAAGGCTCATGATCAAAGGAAAGGGAGTTACCTTTCCCTTTCTCGGATGAAAGCTGATTACCTCCGGTTCCATACGCGGTAAAGGAAGGTGTTAGAAGACAGGTGGAGAGAAGGACACTGTTTTACTAATTAGTAATAATACCAGTTTTAGACACAAGGCTGAATTATGACTTTATGAAGACCTAATTTATGTTTAGTGTAAGAAGCTTTGAACTATGTCTGACTTAAGAAACCTTAAACTATGTCTAGTTTAAGAAGCCTTAAACTATGTATGTCTAGTTTAAGAAGCCTTAAACTATGTATGTCTAGTTTAAGAATCCTTAAACTATTTATGTCTAGTTTAAGAAGCTTTAAACTGTGTATGTCTAGTTTAAGAAGCCTTCAACTATGTCTAGTTTAAGAGGCCTAAAAATTTAAAATAGGAAAAAGTATGGAGCAATTCTGAGATGCTTCACATAGTGCGTCCCTCAGCCATAGCTAGTAAGTTTATTGAAGTACAGGTACACATAAGTAAAATTGTCATACATAGTTCAACATGTGTAAATTACCTTGGGTAATCCAAGAAGGTCAGACAAAGTGACTTATTTCCATTGGGATTCTGAGAATCACATTATTGATGACAAATAATACCTACAAGATGATGAATAATATACATGTACAACACCTGAATATCTTTAGTGCCCAAACTAAACTTAGGTTTGGTAGCGAAAGTAGTTTGTTAGATTATGTGTTGGTAGATAAGACTGATGAGTATACCTCTGGATGCGCATGTTTATAGAGAGACCACAGATATATCATTTTCTAGTAGCTACAGTGAGAGTAAAATGTAGATGGGATACAAGGAGAATGGAAGCAGCAAGTAAGAGAGAGAGAGGTGAAGGTTTATAAACTAAAGGAGGAGGCAGTTAGGGTAAGATATAAACAACTATTGGAAGAAAGATGGGCTAGTGAAATATAGACAATAAGGTTGAAGAGGTATCGCAGATGAACAAGGAGGCTTTAGGGGGTGTGTAGACCAAGTGTTAACAGTGAAGCATATAGGTGAACAGTATTTAGATAACCTGGAGTTTACCTGGAGAGAGTTCCGGGGGTCAACGCCCCCGCGGCCCGGTCTGTGACCAGGCATCCTGGTGGATCAGAGCCTGATCAACCAGGCTGTTGCTGCTGGCTGCACGCAAACCAACGTACGAGCCACAGCCCGGCTGGTCAGGAACCGACTTTAGGTGCTTGTCCAGTGCCAGCTTGAAGACTGCCAGGGGTCTGTTGATAATCCCCCTTATGTGTGCTGGGAGGCAGTTGAACAGTCTCGGGCCCCTGACACTTATTGTATGGTCTCTTAACGTGCTAGTGACACCCCTGCTTTTCATTGGGGGGATGTTGCATCGTCTGCCAAGTCTTTTGCTTTCGTAGTGAGTGATTTTCGTGTGCAAGTTTGGTACTAGTCCCTCTAGGATTTTCCAGGTGTATATAATCATGTATCTCTCCCTCCTGCGTTCCAGGGAATACAGGTTCAGGAACCTCAAGCGCTCCCAGTAATTGAGGTGTTTTATCTCCGTTATGCGCGCCGTGAAGGTTCTCTGTACATTTTCTAGGTCAGCAATTTCACCTGCCTTGAAAGGTGCTGTTAGTGTGCAGCAATATTCCAACCTAGATAGAACAAGTGACCTGAAGAGTGTCATCATGGGCTTGGCCTCCCTAGTTTTGAAGGTTCTCATTATCCATCCTGTCATTTTTCTAGTAGATGCGATTGATGGAAATAAATGGTATAAAATACCGACACAATGGCAATATAAACACAAATGCAGTATAATGTGATCCTTTATTGACTACGTTTCGCCCACACAGTGGGCTTTTTCAAGTCACAAACAGAACTACCTGGGGTGGAAGGAACGCGAGTATTTATAGTCCGGCTGAGGTCAGGTGAAGAATGCTGCATCTGATGATGTACCGAGTTGGGTTGTAGAGTCTAAAAACTTGGGTAGCTTGGAAAGGAGACTGGACAAGTTTGTGAGCAGACCTTCTACAGTGTTCTTATGTGGGATAGCGATGAAGAAGTTTCTTGGCAAGTGGTCAGCTATGTTATAGAAGCCACTATTCTGGTTGAAGTTGTCGGATATAGAAATAAGTGATGATTCCAGGATTCTTCGGTATTGAGTGTTGTCTTCTGTGGCGATAAGTCTTGAGTTTCTGTAGTTTATCAAGTGGTTGTGTGAATTACGGTGTTGTACGCAGGCATTCCTTGTGTCGTCAGACCTGCTTGGTATTGGTGTTCTGAAATACGTGTTTGGAGGTCCCTTGATGTTTCGCCCACGTATAACTTGTTGCAGTCATTACAAGGGATTATGTATACCCCTGCAGAGGATGGAGGCTTGTCCTGCCTACTACTGGTGATGTCCTTGATGGTCGTGGTTGTGGAGGTAGATACTTGGAATGATGTTTTGGCAAAGATGTTGGAAACATGTTTGGCAATGGAGTTGGTGGGAAGGACTATGTATCTCTTCTCGGCAGTGTCTTCTCTGGGTGTGTTGAAGATGTTTAGTGCTCGCCGTCTGCAGTCTCTGATGAAGTGACGAGGATAGTGGAGTTTGGAAAATACCTGTTCAATTATAGTGCATTCTTCCTCAAGGAACTCGTTGCTGCCAGATTCTGAGTGCACGCAGGAAGAAGCCTATAATTACACCACGTTTGGTTTTGGTGTCGTGGTGAGAGTAGAAGTGGAGAAGATCGTTTTGGTTGGTGGGTTTTCGATAGACTTTAAAACGAAGTTCGTGGTCAGCTTTGCAGAGTAGAACATCAAGGGAAAGGAAGAGTGTTGTCGACCTCTTCTTCAAGTGTGAACTGGATTGAAGGCTCGACCTGGTTGAGCTTGTCTTGGAGAGCTTGAACGTTGAAGCGTTTAGGAGTATGAGGAGAATGTCGTCAACATAACGGAGCCAGGTGACAGACGAAGGAATAATGGTGGAGAAAACGTTCGGCTTCTAGATGTTCCATGTATAGGTTCGCTAGGACTGCACTGAGTGGCGAACCCATGGGTAGTCCAAAAGTCTGCTGAAAGAGGTGATTTTCAAAAGAGAAACACGTAAGCCAACACATAGTTCAACCAGGTCGATGAAGTCGCTGGCTGGAATGGGAAGATCAAGTGAATCGTCAATTTTTCTTGCGCAAGAGATCGATGGCTTGTTTAGTAGGTACTTTAGTGAATAGGGAAGTCACGTCAAGGCTGGAAAGTTTCTTGTTCCTGATGTTGATGTTGCGAATGCGATTGAGAAGATCACCTGAGTGTTTGAGATGTGCTGGACTGATAGTGCCCAAGAGTTTCGAGAGGTGTTTGGCGAGAATTCCTGAGAGCTTGTGGGGAGCACTGCCTATTCCCGAGGATATGGGCCTCAGTGGGATACCAGGCTTGTGAGTCTTTGGCAGGCCGTACATTCTGGCAGGTCTGGGGTTGCTGGGCATGGTGTGCAGAAGTTTCTTCCCTTGTTCTGAGCTCCTCAGAATGCGGCGAGTCCTTTGAAGAAAAGTTTTAGTAAGGTTGTCCACTTGGTTAGTTGTGAGAGGTTTGTAGGTATCTGGGTCATTAAGTAGATTGAGCATTTTGTTCCTGTAATCGTCAGTGTTCATGATAATTATTCAAAATCTTTCATCTCGTCCACTGTCAACCACAGAAACTGAAGCCCTCAGCTTAGGCCTCAAATTCGCAACAGGAATTACGAAACCAAAACAAGACCTCAATTTCATCGCCAAAAACTACAGACACAATGACTCCGACTTCCAAAAAGGCTATCTTCAAGGCATCATCTCAGCAGCCATCTCAACACGCAGCTCCCCAGTCATACCCCGACGTTACATCAATGCACTCAAAGGTTTAGCAGAAGACACGACCATCAGGGTCACCACCGCTGTAAAGGAGGTGGTGTTGTTATCATGAACACTGACGATTACAGGAACAAAATGCTCAATCTACTTAATGACCCAGATACCTACAAACCTCTCACAACTAACCAAGTGGACAACCTTACTAAAACTTTTCTTCAAAGGACTCGCCGCATTCTGAGGAGCTCAGAACAAGGGAAGAAACTTCTGCACACCATGCCCAGCAACCCCAGACCTGCCAGAATGTACGGCCTGCCAAAGACTCACAAGCCTGGTATCCCACTGAGGCCCATATCCTCGGGAATAGGCAGTGCTCCCCACAAGCTCTCAGGAATTCTCGCCAAACACCTCTCGAAACTCTTGGGCACTATCAGTCCAGCACATCTCAAACACTCAGGTGATCTTCTCAATCGCATTCGCAACATCAACATCAGGAACAAGAAACTTTCCAGCCTTGACGTGACTTCCCTATTCACTAAAGTACCTACTAAACAAGCCATCGATCTCTTGCGCAAGAAAATTGACGATTCACTTGATCTTCCATTCCAGCCAGCGACTTCATCGACCTGGTTGAACTATGTGTTGGCTTTACGTGTTTCTCTTTGAAAATCACCTCTTTCAGCAGACTTTTGGACTACCCATGGTTCGCCACTCAGTGCAGTCCTAGCGAACCTATACATGGAACATCTAGAAGCCGAACGTTTCTCCACCATTATTCCTTCGTCTGTCACCTGGCTCCGTTATGTTGACGACATTCTCCTCATAACTCCTAAACGCTTCAACGTTCAAGCTCTCCAAGACAAGC